ATATTACCACCACCATCATCACAACTGACTACTACAAACCATAACTCATAATTAATTTACTTTTTAACTTCTTTGTCACCATATATATTATATAAAATAATGAGAAATTATATTTGACTTCGGCTGGATCATATTCACTCAAAATCAAGTAAAAACTTTCAACACGTTTTATTACATATTTAGGTATCTACTTTGACTTGCTTTAAAAAATAATGTCAAAAATTATTCCTTTACAGATTTGCTTGAATGTATTTACAGATTTGCAATGACGTCATTTTGTACAGTTTGTTTACTTTCTGATTCAACTGATTGACATTTTAGTAAGTAAGTAAGTAATCTTTCACAGAAATATATTCACATGGTGCTGTACAATCATTAACAGTATAAAAATGGTGGAAAGAATAAAATGAAACAGAAAAACATAATTAAAAATAAGCAACGAAAAAGTGAAACATCAAATCAAGAATAAATTTCTAAAACTGTAAATGAAACACAAGGTCATTGCAGGTCAAAATATACAATAATACACAAAAACATAATGAATGCGGGAGAGAAAATATGGTGTAAGTTCAATAATTAAAAAACACAGATTGATGAGCGTTTACAATGGAAGTAGGCTGGTAGTAATGGTGAAATGGTTAGCTAAACGCTTGAGTGAAAAAGGGAGTTTTTTATCAAGGGAGCACAGATTAAAAGGGAGTTCATTCCATGTGTTTAGTGGATGTAAAAATAGCTTTTAGCCAAGATTCTTAGCTTTCTATTGATACCAAACATGTCCAGATTCAACTGACAGATCTGAGGTTAACAGAAGTTAAAAGAAATATAAAACTGGAAAAGCTGCTTTGCATGAGGCTCAGAGGTTAAGTCTCTGATGTGAGTTTGTTTCTGTTTGCAGCATTGTTGGACACTTTGGGTTTTACCAGAAGAGTGGAGAGTGCCCAGTGACCCGGTGAGTGACCAACACCTGCTGGTTGTGACCTCATCACTGACCTATGACCAGAAACACAGACGTCCTTACAAACTTCTGCTTTGACAGCTTTCTGATTCAGACTCACAAGGTTCTTCTGATAAACTGTAAAAAATTAACTTGGTCTGAAGTCGGCTCCAACCCAACATTTACATTTCAGCTGCTTTTATTCAGATCCGTTTCCAAGAACTGAGTGTATTATCTGTGATAAGAAGGAAGCGTTAGGGCTGGAGATGTGCACGTGCTCAGTACAGATGTGTCCCTGAGGGACTCACATGGAAACAGTGCTTTAAGTGGAAAAGAATAAGTGCCGGTACTCCCATAATAATATGGGATAGAGTCATATGTAATGTTTTTATATACATCTATCTATAGATATGGAGTTTTGTTTCGCAACAATAAGAACAAAGCCAGTTCTAAATCAAATCCACAAGAGTCAAATTCATCAGTAGCTGTGTTTCCACTGACCATGAAAATGCGCAAATTAGAATTTCGAAAATAAATTTGCTCAATGGAAACACGTCAATTTAGAAAAATATTACGTTTTTCGGCAAAGTTTTTGCGTTAGGATGAGGTGGTTTTTCGGCCTTATTGAAATTGGTGTTTTTCGCAAAACTGCAATGGAAACACGTTTTTCACATCTCCGGAGTCACATGATCAACAACCAGCTGTTTCTACTGGTGAAAAAGACGATGAAGAAGAAGATAACAGGAAGTAGAAGTAGTAGTAATATCACAGAAGTAGTATAAAATAGTAAACTCAGCGACTACAATTTCCCAAAAACACAGCATACGTAGCCGCTCCCAAGTAGTCTCTGGAAAGCCTCGATAAAAGACGCCGACGTCTCCTCTGATGATG